AAAAAAAAAAAAAAAAAAATCACATGATCACACTTCAGAGATAAATATATGTCATCCTTGCGCAGGGGCCATGCTAATCTTCTCTATAGCGTTCCAATTGTGCTCCCGAAGCGAGCACAGACATAAATATATGTGTTGGACTTCCAATTGTGAAAAATTATAGAAAGGATGAAGATGTACATAATCCCTCTGAAATTTATGGATTCTTTTAGCATTCTAATTCAACTATCAATAACATTGAGTGAGTCCAATATATTGGGCACTGGAATCACATAAAAGAGATTAAATAAACAGCTGTTAGTAGAAAAGGTTATTTACTTCTCATGGCTCTTCATGAATTATTACACTAACATAAAGCAGAAAGGAAGCATTATGAAAAAGTAAAGTTTTTTTTTTTCATTTCCCTACTGAAGGTATTTAATACTTACCACATTTGGAATCACTGCTTATATGGCTATATGAGTCAATACCTCCATATGGATTTCAAAGGACAAATTGTATAATTTGACAGTGTAAAGCTTTCTCAATACTGAAAAATCTGGAAAGAATTACAAGAAAGTATCACTCTAAGTAAAATGTGCCAATTTATTTCATGCCTATTTTATATGACTATTAGAAAAGTAAAAAGCCATATTGACACATTTCATATTTATACTTATTCTTTCATGCTGAACACTTCAGATAGCAACAGATTTTACGTCTAACACATTGTCTCCAATACAAAGAAAATTATATATCTTACCTCATCTTTCAATTGTATTGCTACTGAAAACCAAAGTGGTACAGGTAAACCTGAAAAGTTGTGATTAGAGGAAAAAATGGTTTTAAAAATTCATGCTATTTAATTGCATTAACTGCTTTGTTACATAAATATTCTGTGAGCTTAGGAAAAGAAAAGCCAAAACAGGCTATACAGATAAAGAGCACCTATATAGCATTGTAATATTGTTTGGAAAATATTCCAGATCTTTGGAACTATTTTGTTCAATTCACAGTCATAGTATCACTAATAAGGTGGTCATGGTTCACTGCAGTCTGGAAAATAAATCACATGAAGAGAGAAATATTATGTTCTAGTAATATGATGCCATATTAATGTTTGAAATAGGAAATCATAAAAATCAGAGAGAGAAGAAGCAATAAATGTATAATTATAGTTAAAATGATGAACCCCAGAGCTTTTACTCTTGAATAGAATTCCTGGATAATGATTCAGAGCAATTTCTGTGACTCCTACACCTTGCACCCTTTCTCTCATCTGTGAAATGGGCTCAATAATAGTTCCCATGTAATAGAATTTTTTATTATGAAGTGAATTAATTTTCTTAGAACAGCGCTTGGCACATAATTCTACACAAATGTTTTATTATTATATCTGTGTACCTCTTACAAAATGATTAAAATTTGTAATGAGTGCAGAAATAGATTCCAATAAAAAGCATCTAGGATCAGAATAATATAGAAGATTACTATTTATGTAGGTAGATTCTTAATCACTTTAAGGGCTAGAAACAGGTCTTGTGAAAGGAGAAGATAAAAATATTTTTGAAAGCCTATCATAGGGTAGGTACTACTTACATATTATTTCTAGTGATTATCTATACAGTACAACAAGATGAAGTAATTGCTTTCAGTTCATACAGAATAATACTAAAGAAATACTAAAAATTTTGCTAAGACTTTCTTTGCTTATCCAAGTAATTCATAATTACAGCAATTTAACTTATATCTGATCCTGAATTGTTATCATGATTTCTTTTCATACAGTGAAATAGGTAGTTTCTCCCTGTAAAAAACCACATAGTATTCTATTCACCTCTGTAATGTTAAAAGCTTTGATATTTCATGTAGATTGTTCCTATTTGTGGGAAGATATTGTTTATCAGTTTTATAAAGCAGCTAATGCTGTGCTGGAAAGTGAGAAATGAGAAAAATTTTAAAGCATGGATAAATAAAATAATGTTTGGCCTCATGGAAAAGAAATTAAGGTTTTTCTTTTTAATATCTTTCAAATACTGTTCTTTAATCCCAGAGTCATTTCAGAGTTGAAACTGTAAAGATGCTCAGATATACACAATAGATACACACTTATTAAGGAGTATCACAGTTAGATAAAGGCTTCCCAAGAAATGGAGGAAAAGACTGAATCACACTCATGGAGTAATAATAATAACACATGAAACCCTGGAACCCTTTACCAGACAAGTCACGTAAGTGATACCTGGGCAGGATTTTATCCCTGACCCTCAGGGAATGAGTGAAAAGATGACTGGGGATAGAAATATTTAAATTTGTCTGCACTGTAATATCCAAGCATTATCTGATGAGATATACTTCAATTTAAATTAATTATTGACATGTTTTGTTCCCTTCAGAATGGAGTATAATTTTACGACCAAGCTGAATGAACAATACTGCTGTTCGTGGCATAATAGCACTGCGGAATTTTGCAACACAGTTTCAAAGTTTTGGGCCAGAGCCTTGTGGAAAGAAAAACAAAAAGATTCACTCTTATACTAAATATTTCAGTGAATTTGGTGTGAGTTAAATGAAAGAAGAAAGAATGCTTCTCACCCCTCCGATCCTCCTCTTTTGCTAGTGTCTTCCTCGGCACCAGTGTGCATCCTGAGCTTCATTCTGGCCCAGCACAGAGTCTTCACTGCTTCTGTTCCTGGGTGCCTTCTTGAGCTAGTCTTCTGCGACTTTGGCCTTCGTTTGGCTTTGATTTTGGAAAAAGTCGTAGGACTAACTCAATAAATGCTGCTTGTCTCGTGACTAAGGTATGAACTTCCAAACGTGCCTATATGTTGACAACAGAGGATCTAATCTTTGCCATGTGGGAGAAGGACATTGAAAATGGTCTCGCAAATACCGATATTGGAGAAGAGCAATGTTTTGTATATCTTACTTTTTCTTAGTTTTCAAGGCTGTTTCTTGGGTAGCTGTCTCTTTCTGTCTTGTTCAAGTCTAAGCCTTTCTACTATTATAAGTCAGCCTGTCCTGTACCATATCATATCAGCTTTTTGAAAGTTTGTTGTCGTTGTTTTTTTTTTTTACCAGAATGAAGCACAGTGTACTTACAATTGCTTTGTTTTTACCTCTAGCCTAGTGCAGAAGCAGCTAGTTATGCTACATAAGGAGCTTTCCTTATTTTATGAGCACACAAATTTTTTTAAAAACCTTGTTCTTTTGCTTTCTCCAAAAAGAAAAGAAAAAGCAAACACACTGAAAACAAGTGATAGAAAGCTCACTTAAATAAAAATGTAATCAGAGAGGAAAGGGTTTTAATGGAACATTTAACCTTCTCTGATAAACAAATGTTGTCAAATGAAAGATGTAATTTAGTGGAAATATGATAGCAAAAACCAACTGCCAAATGATTCTGAAGGGGAAAAAATCCTTGACATTTAGAAAGATGCAACTTTTAGAAATAACTTATCAAGTAGTCACATATTCATTTTCAAAGTAATCACTGGTAAATTACAGTGACCACGCGTCTCAGCTACTGCTTGTTCTTTTCTGTAATTGATCATATTCCTCTCATATGTGTGCAGTAGGACATTTTGTATGTTGTTCCTGGATGTATAACATCAGAAAGAAATAGATATGGTGTAGAGATGGATTCTGAGGAAAACATACTTAATGCAAATATAGGACATTAGTGCCAAAAGCATATCAAAATAATGCATGTCTCCAAAGTTAGGAACAATAGCTTGTAAACCTATTTATTTTTCTACAACTGAGAAACCGCTGTTAAATCAGGTGACATGCCTAAGGCGTTTGAAATATAAGAAGGTTAAACTTTACATAAATTAAAATAAGGGACTTAACTTCACTCACCTTTTGCATATCTTACATTAGGAAGAATAAATACAAGAAAAGCAACAAGACTTGTTAAATCTTTCATTTGTTAGTTTTGGACAGATCAATGAAGAAGATGTGTTTATAGCCATATATGTACAAAAATTCCACCTCATGAGCTCAGCTAAAAATGTTAAAGCTGGATATAATTTTTAAGCTAAATGATTTCATTTAAATGTTTGCTCAATTCTTTCTTTTTCAATTCAAGGCCTCACAAATTCCTAGCAAAAATAAAAGTAAATCAGAAGTTTATTGTTCAGAGATATTCAGCCCTTATTTTATCTGCTGACACCAACAAGATGAGCTTTGACAAGATCAGGGATTGTGGGTGTTTTGTGATGCAAATCTCTCCACAGGGAGAGGACCACAGCCATCAAGGGTTTATTTCACAAGGCAGCTTCCCTCTGCAGCAAAGCCCTGTAATGAGATCAACTGTGCCCTTTCTCTGGTCTGGAAAGAGCAATTCCGGTGGGTCACAGCATGACTGATTTGGGTCCTTCAGTCCTCCTAGTTTTCACTGCCTAACAATCCCAGACCCATGCCAAGATTTGCATCACTTATTGAGATGATCTAAAAGAGCAGGACGACTCTACTTTGGTTTAGTTCACTTTCCGGAATGCAGACTGTCTGCCAGTTTGTCTGCTAAAGGAAATATAGGTCACATTTCAATATCAGCTTTATCATTTTGAAGTAATATATTGATCTTTCACACCAATAACTATACAATATTTATTTCATATAAATGAATTAGCCTGTGGACTCCCATTACACTTAGTCCCTACACATTCTCTGTTATAATTCTTTTATTAGCACCATGTTCTACTACATTAAGTGGAAACTATTAATAAATAATAATTTCCTCAACTAGACAATGTTCTCTTTGTTGCCTGAGGCACTGACTTTGTCAAGATTGACATGAGCAACAAGACTGGAAGCATCCTCTGGATAAAATACATATGCAATAAATCTGCCCCCCCATTCCCCCAAATCCTAAGAATCAAGTACATTGTACCTGCTAAATATAACTTATAGAGGAATCATTGTTTTGGATTGAGATTTTACATAATGTTTCAATGGACCCAACCAAAGTGGATTCTCTCTTGCTAGCTGTCACATAACCAAACTGAACTGTAAAACTAGTCAGTTTTCTACGAAAAAAGAAAGCAAAAGTATCCAATCCAATGGTGCCCAGGCATGGTAAGGAAGTCTTCTTTGCTCTAACCCATATATGGAAAATAACCTTTTGTAACCTATC